ATATTACTTTCACTACAATTAGATAAATATTTCGATATTTGACATCCAGTGGAAAGCCTCCATGTAGGCAAATTTTTATTCTATACACATCAATATAAAGAATTTTACGGAGAATAAAATTTGCTCGCTATTTCACATTCTGTTGTAGTTGTAGATATATGTATTGTATATATTATACTGAAAGTACATACATATATATAATAAAGCGCTATGATATTTATATATTATGCAAAGAATCTTCTTTGAGTGTGCTCATGATTTACCTGCTATTGTACATAGAGAAATGCCTTTAGAAATATATAAAGTAACATACAGTATACAGATGCTGTATTGAAACTACAACCTCGAAGACACTCCTCCCCTCTATAGAGGGGAGGAGTGTCTATATATGGTGCATGTCGATTTGAAGTGACGTTGAAAAGCTCGCGTCCATATTCGATTCGTTTTTCAATAAAACTTCCCCAAAACAAGTTTCCCCGCAATACATTTCAAATAAACATTTCATAATAATAATAATATTCGTGTATGTTTCTTGCATTTTGACGTTTCAATCATTTTTTTGCATTGAAAAATATAACACACAACTGAAATAATAAAGAAAAGGGATAATTAGGAAACTATTGTTACTAGCTTACGTAAGCAAGTTCATCAATATTTACTATACTTTACAATTCATTTGTATATTTTTATAACTGTGTATTATTTTTTTAGCCTCGTAGAAACGATAATGTATCATTTTTATCGTATGGCATTGTTTAATGTAATAAAACTTTTGAGTTAGAAACATATATTGATTAGATAAACACTTAGTAAATTATTAATTGTAAGGCACTTTACATAGAGTTGGAGAACAGAATGATAAAAGTTTTGTAAATAGTCGGTATAAGTTTAGTTCTGTCCAACAAGAAAAATAGTTGAGGGAATAAATTATTTTATAATTATAAAATAATATATTTCTATATCGAGGTGGGATATACTAGTTCTCGCAACCGAATTTAACCTCGATAATCGAAAGTTAGATTTTTACCAGCATCAGTTCATTACTCAGTGTGAGGCAGTCAAGTTCTGATACTACATTTTTGGGGATAAAAAAGATTTGTAATTTATACAATCGAATTTTATTTTGATGAAATGAATTATTCCCTTGCTTTTGGTATGTAAGATAAAAATTAAATTATTTCCAGTAATTAAATTAATTTCCAGTCTTTGTATCAATGAACTGTATCCCCTAAATTGTATTTTAATATCCCCTAGTAAATTAATATTGAAATATATAATTTTTAACATTAAAGTAGAAGTAACGTTCCTTTTTTATCTGGATTAAAGATAGGAATCTCCTGAGACTTGTATTTTCTTGACAATATATAGCTCTTCCATTGTTCGATTCATGTAGTATATAGAAATATAAATTATGAAAACTAATATTTCTTCCCAACCAAGAACAGTATATATACGTATATCGATCGAAATCGATAACAATGAATATTTTCTCTTTTGTCTTTTCAAAGACATAACTTGTATCTATTTCCAAAGTCTTTTGCCATTATGATATAAATATTTAATATGTAATGATACGAATTTGAATTATTCAAGTGAAAGTTATGGAGGTAAATAAAATAATATTAAAAATATGAATATATATGAAAATTATTTTGTTTTTTTTCAGTGTTATACTAATAGGCAACTAGTTGCCTCTGAGGTGTGATATATATCGAGAGTGAAAAGTTGCCGACAACTGGAAATTTTATTTACCAGAAATGCTTTGGGGGAGTGCCTAATAAATTTATTAGGCGACGTCGACTACGACGACGACGACGAGAACTCGAGATACTTACGAGTTGGAATTATTCACGTCATGCCAAGGGTGTGGGAGAGGAGAAGAGAGAGAGAGAGAAGCAACTCGGAACTCAATTATGCGAAACGACAACCGAATGCCAATTTCACTCGGTGCTTATCGCTGTAATACACGCAGACTACGAAATAAGTCTGGTCGGTGTCGAGTCGGTGGACCGCGTTGAATTTCAATGCACGCTTCGGTGCATCATCCGGATCCTGGATGGCCTGGATCGATTGACAATTATTATCACAACGGTCGTGCCAGTCGTGCCAACACGGATACAAATTAACGGCGACATCCTTCGAGAGATTCGATTTGGTCATTAAATATAATTTCTACCTCGGCTATCATTTCCTCCCAATATTATCGCCATAATATTTATTAATATTTTATTTTCAATTTTATTCTAATTGATATTTTATTTTCAGGGAACTGGATGTCGGGAGACTGAAGAAATATTTCGGAAATGAAAAAGAGTTTTGTAATTTATACAATCGAATTTTATCAAAGAAGACTATTACTTATCCTGAACACTGCAAAACTGTTATACCTTTCCCTTCCCTAACTTTTTTTGGTCTTAGACAATTTAGGAACATTAACTACAGATGAATTAAGATCCCTTTAAGTGATTGTATGGTCCTAGGAATTCAAGGAATGATTTTTAATTCAGTCTGTAAGAATACTTCAGCCAGGAAGCACTGCAAACTCCTGTTACTCTCCCTTTATAAAAATGATTTGTAATTTACCCAATCGAATTTAATCAGAAACACTACTTATTGCTTATGATTAAAAAACAGTGATTACAAAAAGAATTTGTAATTTACACAATCGAATTTTATCTTAAACACTAGTTTTTGCTTCCAATTAAAAAACACTGATTATAAAAAGAATTTGTAATCTACACAATCGAATTTTATCAGACATTTAATAATATCAGGGTTGCCACAGGTCAGGGAAATCAGGGAAAAGTCAGGGATTTTTTATTAAAAGTACTGGAAAAAATTACGACGAATTCTAAAAAAATCTTCTATTTTTTCTACTTTTTAAAAATAATTTATTTTAAATAACTTAATTCTATTGAAAAACTGACATAAAGTTATTACTTATAAATCATTTAATAAAGTATTTTTTTTGAAGTAATTTCAATAAAATTGATATTATAATATCAATTTTATTGAAATTAGTTTCAATTTTTTAAATTTTAACGCAATTCTTTAAAAGAATTCAACTATTTTGACAAATATGAAACTTCTTTCTAGAAATTAAATTATTTTCATAAATTAAAAAAAAAATTTTCGACAACATTTTAATTATTTTTATTAAAAAAAGCAAAATTCTTCGCTGAAATTCAATTATATTCAGGAATTCGTATAAAATTCATTGGAAAATTCGATTATTTTAAAAAAAAACAAGATCACAAGAATTCAATTATTTTCAATATTAATAAAATTCTTTGAAATTCAATTATTTTCAAAATATCTATAAAAAATTGTCAACATTTCAATTATCTTTATTAAATGAATATCAAAAATTCTTCGAGAAAATTCAATTATTTCCAAGCATTTTATTAAAATTCATTGTAAAATTCAATTATTTTCAAAAATTTTAATAAAATTCATACGAAAATGTCAATTATTTTCAAAAAATTTCTATAAATAACAAGATCAGAAGAATTCATTTATTTTCAAAATTAATAAAATTCTTTGAAATTCAATTATTTTCAAAAAATCTATAAAAAAATTGTCAACATTTCAATTATCTTTATTAAATGAATATCAAAAATTCTTCGAGAAAATTCAATTATTTCCAAGCATTTTATTAAAATTCATTGTAAAATTCAATTATTTTCATAAATAATAGTAATCACCAAAAGAATTCAATTATTTTCAAAAGTATACAAAATTCAATTATTTTCAATATTCTATTTTATTAAAATTTCCCAGAACAATTTAATTATTAAACAAAAAATTTTCATAAAATTCAACAGAAAGATTCAACAAATTATTTTCAAAAAAATAAAAATTTAACAGAAATTCTATTTAAAATAGAATTTTCATAAACTTTTTCAAAAAAAAATTAAATGTCTTAAAATTTTGCATAAAATTCTTCGCAGTAATTCAATTAGTTTCATAAATAATAAATTCAATTATTCAAAAATTTGTTGAAAAAATTCTATATAATATTTTAATTTTAAGAAACATTCAATTATTCAATACATTATCCATATGTTTGTATTTTTAAATAATTTAATTCTCGAAGAATTTTCTAATAAAAATTGATTTAAAAATTAATTTCAGTTAAAGTTTTAGATAATAATTAAATTTTTTGACTACTAATGATAATTTTTAGAAATAATTGAATTTTGTAAAGGTTTCAAAATAAAATCTTTGAAAATACTTAATTTTTTATATACACATATTTAATTACAAATTCTATGCAACTAATTTTCTTCAAAAAGTTTAATCGAAATTTTTAAAAAATTATTTTAAATTTCTATTTTCTAATGTGCATTTTAATTGAATAATTTCGGAATTCTTGTAATTTCAGGTAAAATTGAATTGTAAACAAATGGATTTAAAAATTCTTAAAAAGAACTTTTTTGAAAAATTATTAAAAATAATAATTGATTTAAAGAAAAGAATTTTATTTCAAAATTGTAGAAAATAATTATTTAATTATGATGAAAATAATTTTTAAGGATAGTTAGAGTAATAATATTTTTATAATAAATTTAATTTAATGAAAAAAAAATTTTTTATTTAATAATAAATTAAAATAATGATTTTATTACTCGGACATCTTTAATATTATTTGTAAAACATGAAGAAATGGTTCATTTTGAGTCGAAGACTCGGAATAATCAATTTTTTTATGTTTTAGTTTACAAATAATATTTTTATCAGTTATTAAATTTCGAAAGGTTTAAATTTGAAATTTTTGCAAATCATAATTCCTGTGGAAAAATAATAATTAAATAGTATTTATTTAAAAATCAAGTTATTGGTGTTTTTGAATAATTTTACAATTAATCCAATAATTTTTAGTTTAGAAATCAGGGAAAAAGGAAATTAAATTTTTCTGGCAACTCTGAATAATACATTAAAGTTTTCTTTTTGTTTCTGTAAATTTTAGTTTAGCGGGAGAAATTTGTATGTAAACTTACCACAACAACGGATCCGGCGTCTGTCATATTAACTTGCCTCGCTCTTTCAACCGTATTGGCCACCTGCTGTTGATGTTCTTGCGAGAGATACGGTAAAATCTGAGCTATTACAGCATTCAGTCGTTTCGCTATTTCGGCCTGTAGTAAAAAAAAAAAGAAAAAGAGCATTTAAATTATTATTATTATTATTATTATTATTATAAAAGAAACTAAAAATTTAACAAAAAACAAGTTTTTCCCCAAAGAAAAATTCCCTCTTTAATCTTGTTTCGACTCTGCATGTGGCAACACATGTTTTTAAAGAATGCGGGGGGAAACTAAAAATAAATGTATTTTTTCGAATTAACAACTCTGGTGAAGAAGAGTTATATGTTTATGTGGGGGAGATAGAGGAAAATCATTATATTAGAGGAACAGTATTTTGAACCACTCTTGTCAACGCTTGCAATCATCTATTTTTGTTCATCTGTCTTTTCAAAAAGCTTTAGGTTGGTATAATCTAGAAATAAACATTGGAATTTGTGCCCACGTTGGAATAACGAAACGCTACATGAATTTTCTCAAATTTACTCCTGAGGGGGAGAAAAAATTTGTTTTAAAAAAAAAAGTTGAACGTTAATTATCCAAGTGGGTCTATTTGTCGTTACTTCCATTTTCTCTAAGTACCTTCCAAGCCTTTTTATTAAAAAAATATTAAAAGTGTCCGCAATATTTGATTTTTAATAATTCAAAATGCCGGATCCAATATGGCGGACACTTTTTAAAAAACTATTTTCTCACGACGCAGATTACGATAAATTTTATTTTTAAAATCACAATAGACATATTAAAAAATTATTCATTTATTTAACCTCGAGTTTTATATTCATATTATTATTTTTCTTTTTCAAAACTTTAATTTTAGGTAATAGGAAAAAATTATGTCTGTAAATAAGATAATAAAAACACGAACTGAGTTATGTATTATTATTATTTTTTTTTTTTTTTATTGAATTTGTGTGAGAAAAAAATATAAAAAAAACGACGGTTGATATAGTGGAAACGGGTGATGAGAACATAAAAATAACTTAACATAGATATAAACCTCTCGTTGGTACTTTTGACTTTTATCAGTCATCATTCTGAACTTTACGCAAAGATAAAAAAAGCAGTCTTCTGCTATTTAAAAGAATTTGTTCTCTTATATTTTTCTAAACAATATAAATTTTGTAGAAATAATAATAAAAAAAAAAAAAAAACTCTTACGTAGGTTTAACTAAAGTGAAAAATTTTCGTGTTAAATTGAAGTCTTACCTGTTTGTGTAGTTCCATATTTGACGTGTATGCCATTTCGTAATACTGTAAAAAACAAGAAGCAATATTTTATCATTTATTTTTTTCCAAAGCATTTATTATAAGTTCACCTGTTACAATATACACGCAATAATTCAATATTTACTCAAAGCATTATAAACCATTAAGATAAAAACGCATGTTTTATCAAGAAAAAAAAAATAATGAATAAACAAAATTACAGAAATTAATTTATGTATATTATTTCGAAATAATGAAATTTATAATGTGGAATTAAAATTATTATAAGTTAGGACAAATTTAAAAAAAAGTTCATAATTAAAAAAAAAGCAAAAGCGGAAGTTGAGAAAACTTTTTTTTAAAAACAAGAAATCTTCGTTTTCGATTAAAAATAAAAAATGTTCAATTGTACGTTAGTTTCGTATATCTAATTTAATAAATTCTGTCAGAATTTTAATCCATTAACGCTAATCAGAATATTCATGAAAAGAGAGACAGTAATGTAGTCGGTATAATTTTAAAAATTAATTACATCAGTTAATGTCGTGATTAAGGTCTAAATTAAATATTTAAAAACGACTTCCTGTTTTTTCACATTTCTAACAAATTTTTATTATTTTATTAACTCCTACCGAAAAATTCCATTTAAATTGAAATATTGTGATTGCAAAAAGAAAAAGAGCAAAATTGAAATTGGCGAATAAATTGTAATTGCTTCTTAAAAAACAGAAAAAAAAAACTCACCATGATGCAATGCCGCTGTAGATTTTCCTTTTCATTATTCTGCTTATCGTATTCGATTTTAAGACTGTAACAGAAAACAGAAAAAAAAGCTCGCGGTGAGAACTGCTTTTCAGAAAGTTAATAGCGTCATTATATAGCTGCAAAGTGGCTTGCTTCAGCAAACCGGAACCAAAGCGAAAGCCGGTGCGAGAAAAGTTTACAATTATCGCTCTATAAAAAAAAAGGAGGGAAAAAAAGAAAAATTCTCCTAAAACCGCAACCGATTCAAAATGGAATTGAATTTGTCACAATATAATAAAAACTATGCGTGATTTCACGATGAGAAAACATAGTAAAGTTATAACGATTTACTTCTTTTTATAAATAAAATTATTATCTCATAAAAATTTGCCATAAAATTAGGAATATTGTACCAATTGAAACGATTTAATTAAAAAAAAAAATTCGCATTTCTACTTTTAGGAAATTTCTGACTTTAGAAATAGATTGAAATTTTTTGAAATCGAATAATCGAAAAAGAATTCGTAATTAATATAATCGAATAAAAAAATAACGCCCACAAAAAGATAATAGAAAACCCGACTACAATTAACTTTTAAAGAACATGTAAGAACATGTAACAGGGTTGCCACAAAAATGTAATTTTGTTTTTCCCTGACTTTTCAGTTATTTCTAAAAATTCAGGCTATAGTGCATTTAATATTGAAATTATAATTTAAAATTTCAAGTAAAATTCATTATTTAATCAATTTTTATTAGACAATTTTTCGAGAATTCAATTATTTAAATAAAAAAATTAATAATTTATTAAATAATTGAATATTTCTTAAAATTGAATTTAAATAAAGAATTTTAGAAAAAGATTTGAAAATAATTAAATTCCTTCGGCCAATTTTCATAAAATTTTTAAGAATAAATTCAATTTTTTATAATTTCATTTAATAAAAAATAATTGAAATTCAGCGATAAGCTTTTGTTATTTATAAAAATAATTGAATTCTTACAACGAATTTTATTAAAAAATTTTTGTTAAAGAATTAAATTCCAGTGAAGAATTTTATTTTTGAAAATAAATTGAATTCCGAAGAAAAAATATTATTATTTTATGAAAATAATTAATTTTTTGTGAAGATGTTTATTCAAATTTTTTTTAAAAATAATAATTGAATTTCTCAGAATTTTTTAAAACTTTTTCAAAATAATTAAATTATTTTATAGAAAAATATCATTAAAAAATTGAAAATAATTGAAATCTGAATAAGACTTTTATCAAAATTTTTTTTAAGTAATTAAATTCTCGAGAAAAATTTTATTATTTATGAAAATAATTGATTTCTTGCTAAGAATTTTATTCAAATTTATTTTAAATAATTTAATTTTCATAAAAAAATATATTATTCGTGAAAATAATTGAATTTTCAAAAAGAATTGTATTGAAAATTTTATTAACTAAATCTTGTAAAGAATTTTGGCAAAAATTTTTTTAAATAATAGAATTTTTAAAAGAATTTTTATTTAAATTCTTCGAAATAATTGAATTTTTCAGAACTATTTTTTTTTCAATTCTTTGAATATTAAATTTGAATTCTTTCGAGAAATTTCAATTAAAAATTAAAAATAATTGAATTGGTTCAAAGAAGTTTATAACAAAAAAAATTGGTAAATTATTGAATTCCTGTGAAATTTCCATTAAAATTTTGGTTTAAACAATTGAATTCCAGTGAAGAATTTTATTTATGAAAATAATTGAATTCCGGAGAAAAATATTATTATTTATGAAAATAATTAATTTCTTGTGAAGAATTTTATTCAAATTTTTTAAAATAATAATTGAATTGTTCTAAATTTTTTAAAACTTTTTAAAAAAAAATTAAATTCCACCTAGAAATTTCATTAAAAAATTGAAAATAATTGAAATTTGACGAAGAATTTTATTCAATTTTTTTTTAAATAGTTGAATTCTGGTGAAAATATTTATTTTTGAAGAGAATTGAATTGTTGGGAAGAATTTTATTAAAATCTCTTAAATAATTGAATTGCTTCGAAGAATTTTATTTTTTACAAAAATAATTGAATTGTTTCAAAGATTTTTACAAACAATTTTGACTCAATAATTATTGTATTCCAAGGAAGAATGTTATATTTCACGAAAATAATTGTATTCTATGATCAATTTTATTATAATTTTTGAAATTTATAAAGCATTTTATCAAAATTTTTAAAAATAATTGAATTTTCGAGAAAAATTTGATTATTTATGAAAATAATTGATTTCTTGCGAAGAATTTTATTCAAAATTTTTTTAAATAATTGAATTCACATAAAAAAATGTATTATTTGTGAAAATAATTGAATTTTTTAGAAAAATTGTATTGAAAATTTTATTGACTAAATCTTGTAAAGAATTTTGCCAAAATTTTTTTAAATAATATAATTTTTAAAAGAATTTTATTTAAATTTTCCCGAATAATTGAAATTCTCAGAACTATTTTTTTCCAATTCTCTGAATATATTTGAATTTTTTCGAGAAATTTCATTAAAAAATTAAAAATAATTGAATTTGTTCGAAGAAATTTATAAAAAAAAAATTGCTAAGTAATTGAATTCCTGCTTTTATGAAAATTTTGTTTAAATAATTGAATTCTTTTAGATAATAAAAATAAAAATAAAAAAAATAAAGGTTTCGTATTAGAATTCTTGACTATTTCATAGTTCATGAGGCAAACAAAAAAGACTTTAAAATTCAATATTTTCTTTTAAATTCTAAAAATTTAATTTTTTCCAGCACTTTTAATAAAAATCTCTAACTTTTACCTGATTTCCCTGACTTTTCCCTGACCTGTGGCAACCCTGATGGAAAAGCCGACAGCAGCTTCTTTGTATAAATATATTTGTAATTTAAACAATCGAATAATTTTGATAGACCATTTTTAGGTGTCAAAGTATTTTTTTTAACATCGCCAGAGTGTTTGCAGTCAGAATTTAAAAATTCAAAATGGCGGAAAGAAAATGGCGGCTTTTTTTAAAAAATCCACAAATTTTTTTTTTTTAAATTGTTACTTGGGGTTTTGCTTGGAACTCGGAGAATTAAAAATGAAAAGGAATATAAAAAAATAAGCCTAATTTCACATTCGTTGAAATTTATTGACTGACTGGCATTATTACATTTCGTGTGTATAAGTCCCTCTGTGGAAGCATACTATCGTAAATCACTTATGACTTCGATTCTGTGGCCTCGCGTGCATGGAACGACCATTCCAGCTGCTATTGTTCCCGCGGTTTCTACAACTGCTTTGAAAAGAAAGAGCTAAGAAAAAGAGAGAGAGAGAGAGAGAGGGGGAAAAAAGAGAAGAAGAAAAGAAACCGAAAGGAAATATAACATGGTTTCTAGCAGTGATCAACCGAGAGAACACATCGCTGAACATTACCGACTGTTTGTGGTCTTTGAAATTGGAGTCGTAAAGTCACAAAAACAGTAAAAGGAGAAAAAAAAACAAGAAGTACACCGACTTCCAGAGAAATATTTTGTAATTTCAAATATTTAAAAGAAACGGAATAGTGTATTTTGAAGAATGAAAATTTTTTTAGTTTGCTATACAATTTTTAGTTAAAATTTAATTATATACTTACTTATGATACTGGGCTTGTAGAAAATTAAATTCATCCTTAATTCTGTCGCATCCTTCGATCACCGTGAATTTAAATGGCTGTCCAGGTTGAGGTGGAACCTGAAAAATAAAAAAAAATTATTTCAATTAGTTAAATTTCGAAAAAAAATAATTTTATGTTTACCTCGGAGGAAAGTTTTTTCAAAGTCAAAAGTGAAATATATTCAAATGAATAATTTTTCCACAGTTTTTCAAGAATTAAATTATTTAAAATAAATTCCCTCGATCATATCGCAAAGTGCAAAATAAATTCCAAATATAGATTCACTCTCTATATATATAATTTGCAAATTCGTGAACGAGTGCAATATTGCCAAATGAAATAAAGATCCCCGATTTTTGGATTAATGTACAAACACAAATAAAAAGATAAATAAAAACAGATAAATCTCCTCAAAGATACGGGGAGGTAACAGATTTATTTAAATCCAGACCTCATAAATTATTGCGCGCACACTGAGCGAAAGAGAAATTATATATTTGAGAATAAACCAAAGTATAGTAGCACATTTACTTCAGCATAAATAAAATTTTTATCGTTTTCTCCATGTAAGTACAACTTACTCTCACACAATAAAATTTATCATATTTTCTTTTATAAAATCCATTATTTCTTCTTTTTTTAATCTGATTTCAATTATATTTATTTCTTTATTTCGTAATATTTCTCATATTCTCTTTTAGTTGGCGGAGTGCTTCAATTTTCTGAAAGAGACAATTGTCTAATAAATTGGAAAAGTGGTCCGCCATTCTGACTCCGACATTTTGTATTTGAAAATTTAAAAAAAATCTACCTTCGAAATTATTTTCATAAGGAAAATTCAATTATTATTTTTTAGAATTTTTAATTAAATTCTTCTTCAACTCAATTACTACTTAAAGGCAAGAAAAATTTAGATATCCAAAGATTTGAATTTAAACTCAAAATTCAATTATTTCTTTTTTGCAAAAATTTTCAAAATTTAAATTATTGTAAAATAAGTTAAATTTTTTAATATATATATATATATATATAATTATTTATTAAAAATAAAGAAATTAACGAGGAATTTTAGTTAAAAACGCTAAAAAAAATTTGAATTTTGAAAAAGTTTCAAATTGCAAAAATTCAATTATTTTCAAAAGTAATAAAATTCTTCGAAGAAATTCAATTATATTAAAAGATTTAAAGAAATTCTCGTCAAAATTTCAATTCTCCTTATAAATAATAAAATTCTTCTCCGAAATTCAATTATTTTCAAAAATTTTTGGCATACTTTCAATTATTTGCAAAAATTTTCCTAAATTCAATGATATTCAATATCATCTACTATTTTAATAAAATTTTCCAAAAGAATTTAATTATTTAAAAAAAAAATTTTATTACAATTCTACGCAAACGTTTAATTATTTTCATAAATAATAAAATAATTTCACAAGAATTCTATTATTTACAATTTTTTTTTATATAAATATCTTCGCAATAATTCAATTATTTTCAAAAATAATAAAATTTTCACAAAAATTCAATTATTTAGAAATTAGAATATATAGACAAAGTTCATAAAATTTTTCTAAAAATAATTATTTACAAAGTTTTTTTTTTATAAAATTCTTTAATACTTCAATTAAATTTCTTGAAAGAATTTGATTTTCAAAATTTTGAATGATTTATTCTTCGTAAGAATTCAATTATTTTAAAAAATTTTTTATAAAGCTATATATATATTTATAAGAATTCAATGTTAAGAAACATTAAATTATTCAATAAATTATATTTAATTTATTGAATTTTTTCTATTTAAATAATTGAATTTTTGTAGAATTTTCTATGAAAAATTGATTTAAAAATGAATTTCAGTTAAAATTTTACAATGTATAATTGATTATTAAACGTGAATTTTTTTAGAAATAGATGAATTTTGAAAAAGTTTCAAATTGAAATCTTTATGAAAATCTGAATTTTTCATATTTTTAACTAACAATTCTGTAGAATTAATTTTTTCCAAAAAGTTTAATTTAAATTATTCGAAATATTTAATTAAAGAATTTCCGAATAATCGATGAAATTTCGTTAAATTAAATTTTAAATAAATACATTTGAAAATTTTCAGAATTTATTTTTTAAATTATTGTAAATAATAAATTGATTTAAAGAAGAATTTTAGTTGAAAATTCTAGAAAATAATAATTGAATTGATTTAAAAAAAGAAGTTATTGCTGTTTTCGAATAATTTTATAGTTAAAGAAATTCGTAAATAAATGTAATAGAATATTTTTTTGAGTATCTAATTTTATTTTTTTAGAGTAAACCGCAGAATATTCTTTATAGGGGAAAAGTGAAAATTTTGTTTGGAAATCAGAGGGAAAAGTTAGGGAAAAAGAAAATTAAATTTTTGTGGCAACTCATCTGATTAAAATAATTGAATTATTTTTAAAAAATTTTATGGAAGCTATATGATAAAAAATTTGAATTATATTTTTTTTTGAGGAAAAAAGGTATTGTGATGCTTGTATTTTGTTTTTTCCGGAAATGGAAACTTGGATATTGCAAATGCAGTTCAGTTCGCCAGGAGGTAGTTCATAGTTTTGGTTGTAGTGTGTAATCCTCGTGGACACCGCAAACATGTAATTAACACTTGCTCTCTCTCTCTCTCTCTCTCTCTCTCTCTAGGCAAGGCCGCCACAGTCAGTCGAGATCATGTCGACCATAGTGTTGAACTATATTGAACTTTGCGCTCATGTGAGTGCACGTTTAGTGTACACTTGTGAGCGCACTTGCATTAACCTAATCACACATCGATGAAGTACTCGTGTACAATTCAGTATATTCCATTGATCTACCATTCTAGTCTGACACTTGCGAATTATAGCCTCGCTTATATTCCCTCAACAATATTATTTCACACGCTTATAAAATTTAATTTCATCAATTTGCAAAAATGTTTTGAAATCCTTTTTTTCTTTTTGCATCATCAAAAAACAATCTAAAATTTTCGAAATTTATTTATCTTTATTTATTTTTTAACCCTTTCGTGCCTCTTGTACACTTACGAAATTTTATTTAACTCTTATAAAAAACAAATTTTAATAATTCACTTCGGGATTTTCGGGGTCACTATTTTGAATTTTGAAAATCCGACTTCAGATTCGTAATCAGCGACCTCAAAAACCCCCAAGTAACAAGTTTCAAGCGAATTTAAGCAATTTTTAAAAAATGTCCGCCATATTGGATCCGCCATTTTGAATTTTGGAAATTCGACTTCAGATTCGTAATCAGCGACCCCAAAAACCCCCGAGTAACAAGTTTCAAACGAATTTAAGCAATTTTTAAAAAATGTCCGCCATATTGGATCCGCCATTTTGAATTTTGTAAATTTTGAAAATCTGACCTCAGATTCGTAATTAGCAACCACAAAAATCCATAAGAAACTATAAAAAAAAATTTAAATTTTGGTTTCAAATTTTGGTTTCAAAATTCATCACAAAAATTTAATTATTTATAGGAAATTTGAAAAACAATTCTTTGCAAAATTCAATTATTTTGATAAATATCAAAATTCATTGCAAAAATTCAATTTCTTTGAAAAATGATAAAATTCTTTGCAAGAAATTCAATTATTTTCGAAAGTATAATAAAATTCTTCGAAGAAATTCAATTATTTTCAAAATTAATAAAATTCTTCAAAGAAATTCAATTATTTTTAAAAACTTTAATGAATATATCTCGTGAAGAATTCAATTATTTTTATAAATAACAAAATTTGTTGCCAAAAATTCAATTATTTTCCGAAAAATTTAAATAAAACTCTTGGCAAAATTTCAATTATTTTCAAAAAGTTTTTTGCAATTCAATGATTTTCAATATTTACTATTATATTTTTATAAAATTTATCAAATAATTATTGAAATAACTTTTTTTTTACGAAGAATTTTATTAATAACTTTTGAAAAGAATTGCGAAAACGTTTTGAAAAATTTTATTAAATTTTTTTTTTAAAATAAACGAATTCCTGAGAAGAATTTAAATAATAATTTATGAAAATAATTGAATTCATGCGAAGAATTTTATTAAATTTTTCTTTAAATAATTGAAATTTGAAAATATTTAAAAATAACTGAATACTTTAGAAGAATTTCGCAAATTATGAAGATTTATTTATGAAGATTATTTAATTCTTGGTGAGAATTTTTTAATAATTTTGAAAATAATTGATTTTTTTGCGACGAATTAAAAATTATTTATGCAAATAATTGAATTTTTTGAACGAATTTTATTATTTTATAGAATAATTGAATGATTCTTAAAAGTGATATAATTCTTTCTTCAAGTTTTAATAAAATTTTTAAGATTAAATTGCATTTTTCAAGGAATTTATTGAAAATTCCATTAAAAAAATATTTGAAATTCTCTGCGATTTCCAATAAAATTCATTAAAAATTGAAATTTTATAAATTATTTATAAAAATCCACGCTATAAAGCTTTTAATATTTAATTTTCATTTAACATTTTAACTGAAATTCATTATTTGATCAATTTTTATTAGAAAATTTTTCGAGAATTCAATTATTTAAATAAAAAAATAAATTAGTTGAACGTTAATTAATTATTTTTCCGAAGGTCAGCATTCTGTTGAATGAACCACCTTATTACTTAAAAAAATTCTTTACGTTATATTATTTAAATCATTAACGTAAAAAACATATTTATATTATGTTGTGGTGTCAATAATCTAAATCGAAAAACAAACGCACTGAATTCTATAACATTGAGTCTAAATTTTATGATTACACTTCGAAAAAAGATTTCAAAAAAAGAAAAACTTGTTTATTTTTTAATATAGAAAAAAGTGAAACAGAGAACAAATCAGCAAAAAAAGGGGAAAAAGGTGACAAATCGTCAAAAAAAAAAGGTGAAAATGGTGATAAAGGTGATGAAATTGAAATAAGGGGACAAAAGGGGAAAAAAGGACCAACTGCGTGATTAAATACTTTTCTCCATTCTTGAATAGAAAAAATTGTTTTATTATTTCATCAATTTATTTTTCATCTATTTTTACTACTTTTATGTAGAAATAAA